CAGTTCTGAAGCCTTCAAACTTTGGCTTCTGTCTCAGTGGCAGGACTTTGGTTTCGGCATCAGTCCTGGACCCCAGCAAGTCTAAGCCAGTGCTGGTGACTCCTTTAAATCACAATTGTGACCCACTTTGGGGTCCCAACCCACAGTTTGAGAACCGCTGCTCTAAACTATTTAAAACAGGCACCCCCCTATACTACTAAACAAACCTTTTGAATAAAGGTGCCCGCAGGTCACTAATGCAGGTTCTTTTTTCCAAGAAAAACAAAGATACCTGACAAAAAAAAAAGCTTTCACAAAAGCTGCATACTTCCGAAGGGTTGCGCTTAGTCCTTTTAGTGTACCACAAGGACCCTAAATGAATATGAATTATTGCACAGAATTCTGTAGCGCTCACAGGTTTCTCACAAATAATGGAACTGTTTTCTTAAATACTAAATTTATGTGAAACCTACTAAAGCAATGCAGAAACTTAGCAGGGCTATTAAATACCTAGGAAAGGCCTGATTCTGCCAGCTTCATTTAGCATTAATACCTTGCTAAACAAAGGCTAGATTCTCCCATCAGTTTAGCGCTTTCTACATGAGGGGTTAAGATGGTTTAACTGTATCACTGGGGGTGTGGATTTTTCACACCCTGCCAACGTGCGGGGGAGGACACAACACCAGGGCCTGGCGATTCAAAGGGGCCCAGAGCTTCCTGCTGCCACTACCGCTACTGCAGCAGCAACAGCGGCCAGAGCCCCACGCAATGATCTGCAGAGGTCCAGGCAGCACACTCCAGATAGCACTGAGGGTGTGGGCAGCATGATACAGGCAGCACTGAGGGACAACTGCCCTGGCTCTGTCCCTCGTGCCTTTGGCTACACCCCTTCCAGGAGCATGGAGACACCTCTCCCCTCCACTACCTGGCTCAGGGGTCTTTTGAGACTGGGCCATGGCCTTTGGCTACACCCCTTCCAGGAGCAAGGAGACACCTCTCCCCTCCACTACCTTGCCCAGGGGTCTTTTGAGACTGGGCCATACTTATGTTTTTGGGCACTTACATATTTGATCAGTCCTTTTGAAGTTAATGGGACTACTGGTGAATATATGCTCAGCAACATTAATCAGGGCTGGGCCTTCGTATTTCAGCTCACATCATTTCATCCTGGGTTACATTGTGCAGCTGTACATGCTACGTGCAAGTGGAGAGTCAACTAACATGGAATGGACAAATCAGGAAAAGAATGGATGAATGTAAGTTGTAACTTTTCTAGCTAAAAGAATAAATTTACCTAAGCAAAACTAGTTACCTGCTTCAATTGTCTAGGAGAGAATGATTGCAGGAGTTACTCTGGGTACTAATTGGCTTGTTCGGAACCTACCCCAAACCTGATTTACCAATCATTTCTAGCTTTAGTAAATGGCACAATATAATGGCAATTAAAACATGATTAATTTTCCCATGTTGTTTCTATATTAATTTAAAATGATCACCTGGGCTTAATTCAGATCAAAGAAAAATAGAATCTCTTCTAAAATATTATCTTTCATGTCTTATTTTTCTATCAATTCTTTGAGTGCCTCTCAGTGTTTGGCATACTGCGAGGACTCGTCTTCAAACTGCTGAACTTAAAGGTACTTAGTTGCAGCAGACCTTCTTCCTATCTACTTTTTTCATACTTGAGGTCATATTACTGCAGAATGTGCCATCACTGTTATTTCTGTAGTAACAAACTGTAATGTCTTTTCAAACTGTGATTTCCTGTTATAGAACAAACTGTGCTCACGTCCCATAACAGTGTGTGCATTAGGAAAACAGAGTGATAAGTAGAAGAATTGAACAGTTCTAAAACTTCATTGCACCTTGACTGCTTTCTGACAACAAATATGACTCTACAAACCCAGGAGGCGGGAGTCTAAGGCTGCCCAAGCCACACCACTGTAGGTGATGGGGAGAGAGCCAAACCCCAAGCCCCACTGCCCCAGATGGAGAGGGACTGAAGTCCAAGGTCTTCAGTCCCAGCTTGGCAGGGGGCCTGTAACCTGATCCCCGCTTCCAATGGCTGAAATCCTCTGGCCTGGCTTTGGCTCCAGCAGCTGGACTGACAGCCATCGTGGGCCCTAGAGCAAGGAGTGAGGAAGACCCAGCTCTGCACCCCCGGAAGGGGTGGGGCCGGGGGCAGCCAGCCTTCGGAGCTGCACGGTTTGTCTCCAGCAGTGATTTAAAGGGTTCAGGGCTTTGGCTGCTGCTATTGCTGCCATGAGCCCTAGGCTTCTTTGAACTGCTGGGCTTTGCCCCCCAACCCCTGGACCTGGCAAATCTAAGCCAGTCCTGGCTAGGGTTGTCAGGTGTCCGATTTTGAACCAGACAGTCCGTATTTGAGCTTTCTGTTCAGGAATCAAACTGAGAAAATATAAATGAGAAAATATAAATGTCCAGTATTTTCTAAATAAGAAAACAGGATCATTTTTGTTCTATTTTTTTTTAAGTGAAACAGAGCAACTGGCTATCCTGACTTTGAGCACTCCCTGTGAAGGCAGGGGAGTCCATTGCCACAGAACAGCAAGTCTAGAAGCCCTAGGTTGAACTGGCATCCCTCAGAGTTTCCACTCTCCCTGCCATGCACCAGGGAACCTAGACCTGGAGTGGCCCAACAAGAGCTGGAGCTCTAAGGCGTAGGGCAGTCCATGTGGCGGGTCTGCCCCTGAGCCGTGGAAACCCTAATGACTGGTGCTGATGTGGCAGGGCTAGCCTACAACCATGAAAGCCCACAGTCTTCAGCAACCATGTGACCTGGCAGGAAACCAGGCAGATTTGTAATGCAAATCTATCTGGTAGGAATGGGATGATTCTGTTTTTCCACAGAGGTTAATGGAAACCAAAACATTTTGATTGTGATGAACGACCTTTTTCCAATGAAAAATCACTCTCTCCGAAAATTCCTGACCAAGACAATAGATTTAGTTTTAATTCAGTCCTGGAGGATGAGAGAACAGTTATTTCCAAGTATTTCCAAGTATATAAAAGAGAATAAAAAGCAGAATTTGATGCAATCAGATTAGACATTTCTCAGAGTTTGTAAAAGTTACAATGAAAGATGAGCTGGGACAGCTTGATTCTTATTTGCTAATGTTTATACATCCTGCTGAGATTTCCGTGGGGCTGTGCATTTTGATTTATTTAGGGACTTTTTAAAATAAATCTATGCAGTTCCAACAAAGGGACTTCTACAAATTTCATGTTAACAAACAGCTTTTATCTCCTTTACATTTTCTTTTTCCTACTAATACAAGATAGACATGAAAGGTGCAATCAGGGGAGTTGCTAGCTTATTGTGGGGCTTGTTATTGAATCTTCCTGAATCTGTGCTTACAAGACTCACACTGTTGTTTTCCAGGCTGCTCATTAACGCTTGCCAATGTGACACTGCATGGCTGAGCTTTGCAGTGATTTAGTTTTGTGCATAACTTGAACAGAGGTATTGCATTTACATAGCAGAGCTAATTTATTTTAGTACTTCAGGCTTCTTATGCAAAGGACAAACATTCATCGGTATCTGTAGTTCCTCTTAAATATTAATCTAAGTCTCTGTTCTGATCTCCAGCTACATCTCTACTCAGTGCTCTGCTGCTGACTCCTTGCCCCTTATCTCTTTCTCCCATTTGCATCTCTATGCTTTTTTCCTTGTTACCTCTCTGCCTGGAATGCCTTCCCTTTTCTCTGTGTCTTAACTCCTCCTTCAGATCCCCCAGCTTGGATACCACCATTAGTGGCCACATTTACACCCTGATAACAGGCATTAATATATTATTTGAATTTATACTGTTCAATAAGCATTTACATAGTTTATCATGGGGACTTGCTGCTAGTTTGATTCATAGTAAGCAGTGTACCAAGAAAACTAAACTGTTTTGGAGAAAAAATAACTTTTATTTCTAAAATTTCTTAAAAGACTTATTCCCATTGAAATGAACTGCAAAATTTCCCTCGACTTCCATGGTGTGGGATCAAGCAACTGATACATATGACACTGGGACAGGATGGGGCAATAATTTCTGAATGGGGTGCAAGGTTTGGGACAGAGCGTGGGTGCCAAAGAGAGTTTGGGGTAGGAGATTGGGATGCAGGAGAGGGTGTGAGGTCTGAGAGTAAGTTTGGGTGAAGGAGGGGGTTTGCAGTGTATGAAGCTTTACCATTCCCCCTGCCTCAGCCTGGCGCAGAGAGGCAGCTTGAGCAGCCAGCCACTCTGAGCCCTCAGGCTGCTCCCTGCCTGTGGGTCCGGTGGGATGGTCTGCAGGACGGATTGAAAGGCTTGGAGGGCTGCATCCAACCGCTGGGCTGTATCTTACCCACCCCTGCACTGAGAGCTAGATTTTCAAAATTGTTCAATATCTACACTTGGGGCCTGATTTTCCAAAGTGCTGAGCTTCCATTTAAGGATCTACATAAATGGCCTGGTATTTTCAAAAGACCTCTATCTGGAATGTATTTAATTCCTTTCAAAATCTAGGCCTAATGTTGCCCTGGGAGTTGTTGTGAGCCTAATCTCTTATGAAAATCTGCATTTTACTTAGCTGCACAAATTACATTCTTTTGAAAATCTGGCTTAACTTGTGGATGCTGAGCATGTGAAAGTCTGATGTTGAGTTCTTTCCAGCCTATTGAAAGGTTGTATCGCTGTTGTTGTCAGGATGAACACCTGTGCAAAACTAATAGCTCTGAAGCAATTGTGTGCAGTGCTTAAGTGTTTGATTTTTAAAGGTTTATTTTGGAAATGTTCCAGAGTTTCTAGCCATCACAAAGTCTTCTGTCATCTTTCTATGTTCACTTTGCTCCTGCTGTGTCTGAGTTAGCCTCACTGCTTCTGCAACATCAGGCAATTTGGGCTATAGCTGATCACTACTGTATCCAATGTTTAGTGCAACAAAAATTTTGTGTGGATTGTTTACTGTTGTCTGAAGGAAGTATTCATTCTCACACCACACAGAGCACTATCTGAATTAGAAAATATAATTTGTCCACTGGAAAGTTTATCTTACATGCTGAATTAAATCTTGAACCTGAAATAAAAATATAAGCCTTGTTTGTTGGAAGGTTTTTGCTGATTGGACTGTGTTAAACGGCATATTGTTACCTGTTCTATTTGTAAATGTTTTCTTAGTATTATCACCTATTTCTCAGATGTGCTTAGTAACAAATGTACACAGGCTGGCCCATATACTTCAGGCAAAATAATGATGATTATAATACCCACTTTTATAGCACTGTCATGTTGTCTAGAGTGGCTTACAACTGTGAGTGCCAACCTCGGGTCACACTGTGAGAAAACAGGACAGACTAATTAGTGGTATCTTCCATAATTAGATTTCACGAATCCAGTAACAAATGTGCAGTCCTAGATTACTTTGGTCTTCCCATAAAGTCACAAACAGTTCCCTTAGGGCCTTGTTTCTTAAACTGTGTTCTGCGGAACACTGGTGTTCCATGGAGAACTCACAGGTGTGACACGGCCATATGAAGAAAAAGAAGGCCGCGAGAGCTGCTGAGACACATAGGGCGGTGCAAAGAGGTGAGCAAGTGATGACACGGCAGAAATGAGGCGGGGCTACCCGCGTTTCTCACCTGCTTCTGCGCCCGGCTTGCAACCTCCTGGGAAAGCTCCATGCCTCATTTGCACCCCTTGCCAGAGGGGAGGAGAGTTGCAGGGCCAGCAGCAGGGCCGGCTTTGATTGGCTGTCTCTGCTGCTGCTCTGGGGATCCTGCCTGCCAGGGGAGAGAACTGTCCTAAAGCTGCCCCCCCCCCATCCGGGTCTTTGCATCGCTGTCTTTAGCCCTCACGTGTTACCCAGGATAGCTGAGGGGGGGGGGCAGCACCTTCCACCCTCTTGCACAGACAAGGCCCTTCCATTCAGTATTCTGTGTAAAAAATAACAGAGCCAGGGGCTAAAACTATTGAAGGATAAAACATTAAGCAGTAAGGGACCCACTGTGAATTAGGAGGCAGGGTAAGGTCCTCAGTGTCCTTAATGCTGGTGTGGCTGCTATGGCTGCTGTCAGTCAGCTGCTTGACATTAACCCGGGCTTGATAAGGTATTGAATTTATAATTTTCACCAATATGAGTAAACAGAGTAAATTAAATTTCCCTATAAACAAGATTGAAGTTTAGAAGGCTTCATAGGGCAGTGAGCAACTATTGTTGTTGTCTGTAAAAGTGTCGTCCGTTGATCAAGGGGAAAGCTTTTTGTGTGTGCA